AGAAATATGAAACAGAAAATGAGAAAGGCACTGAGAATAAAAGGAAGGGACTTAAACAACTTAAAAGTTTAGGTCCTATCAAAATCTCCGCAAGAAGCAGGAAATCTGAGAATGAAGCAAAAGACAAAATGGGGAATCATCCCCCCATTTTACCATGATGTCATCCGTTTGTTTCTGGAATTGTAGAGGAGCTAGAAAAAGGAGAGCTTCTCTATACATCAAGGAGTTTGTGAAAGATAATTGAGTCTTATTCTTGGGTTTACTTGAAACCAAAGTTGTTTCCTTTGATAGACTGGAAATAAATTCATTAATTGGAGCAGACTGGGACTACTTCCAAGTCCCTTCGGAAGGTCTTTCCGGTGGATTATTAGTGTTATGGAGATCCAATGTTGCTTCTTTCAAAGTCCTGGAATCATCCCAACAATTTATAGTTGGAGACCTTGAAGTTATCAACAAAGGTATTTGAAGAATTGGATCAATCTATGCAAGCAAAGATACCTATAAAAGAAGAGGTCTTTAGGAAAGATTACAAGTTTATTCATCCAAAGAGATATCTATGGTGCTTGGTGGAGACTTTAATTGTCTCCTCAATAAAGAAGACAAAAGAGGTGGTAAGAGATTCTCCTATTCCTTGGGATCTAGAGAAATGGGTCTTTTTTTAGCTTCCAATGATCTTCATGAAGTGCGATGTGTGGGTCCCAAGTTCACTTGGTGCAACAACAAATCTGGAGTTGACAGAATTCTTGAAAGGTTGGATAGGTGTTACCTCAACTCAATGGCTCTTTGCACTCATCACTGGATAATGGTCAAGCACTTGGCAAGAATCTCTTTAGACCATTGTCCTATCCTTCTTAACCTTTTTTAATGTAAAACTGAATTCAAAAAAGTTAACCGTTTTGAGGATATGTGGATTTCCAATCCAGCCTCAGCAGCTTTGGTAAAGAAGGTTTGGATGAAGAAAGCTTCGGGAGATTATGGACAAATTCTAAATCTGAAAATGGGAAAAGCTCTGAAAGCATTGTTCTATTGGAACAAGGAAAAGCACAAAAATCTAGTACAATCTAAGGAAATCATTCTAAGAGATATCCTGGAACTGCAGGATAAGGAATGTAAGGAAGGATTTTTATCTTATGAAGACTCATGGCTTCTTAAAACAAAGGTTACTGAATTCAATTCGACTTTAGCCAGGATCAATACGTGGTGGAGACAAAGAACTAAAATAAAATGGGCAACTGAAGGGGATAGCAACACAAAATTCTTTCATGCCTATGCAAGTGCTAGAAGGAACTCCAACTTCATAGGCTCAATCACCAATAATAATGGTCTGCTTGTTGAAGACCAACATCAAATTGAAGAATCTCTAGTAAGCTTCTTTGAAAACAAATGGAAAGACAGGATATGCAGCTTGGATGGTTGGCCCGACACAATCAACTGCCTGAATGAGGAAGATTCCTACAGCTTAAACTGTGAATTCAACATCAAAGAAATGGAAACAATCTTTATGCAATCTGGGAACTTTATTGCACCTGGAATTGATGGGATAACATACTCCTTCTTTAAGTGGTATTGGAACATTGTAAAATAAGACTTATAGAATGCTCTGAATCAATTTTTCAAAATAGAAATCATGAATTCGAAGTGGAAAGAAACTATAGTGGTGCTGATCCCCAAGGTACTAAATCCTAAAACTCCTTCAAACTTTAAACCAATTAGCCTTGGCAATGTGGTATAAAAGGTGGCCGCTAAGATGATTGTCAATAGACTATCTTCTATTATGCCTAAAATTATCTCAGTTGAACAAGCGACATTTTTTAAAAAATAGATCCATGTCTGATCATATCCTGGTAGCACACAAATTTTTCACAAATTCAGGTATTCAAAAGCTTCCAAAGGTTTGGTTTCTATCAAATATGATATGGAGCAAGCATTTTACTCAACGTGTTGGCCTACGTTAGAAAAAGCCTTCAAATATTTCGGGTTTCCTCAAACAATTTCCAATATGATCCTAGAATGTGTAAGGAACCCAAAATTTTCTATGTTGATTAATGGGAACTATTCTAGATGGATTGAAGCCAAATGTGGTTTTCGGCAAGGGTGTCCCCTATCTCCGTTCATGTTCATTCTTTGTGCTCAACTTCTAACTACTGCTTTCTATCAAGGTGGAGAGGAACTTGGAGTTCGGATCAATAAAGACAGTCCTAAGATATCCCATTTAGTATTTGCGGATGACATCATAGTATTTTCAAAAGCTAAGGCATCCTCAGTTAAGAAGATCAAGAACATTATGGAAGATTTCTGTTCTTGGACGGGCCAAAACATAAATGGGAAAAAATCATGTATCTTGTTTGGGAAAAATGTTAGAAAGAGGAAGAAAAAACTAATCTCCCGTATCATAGGTTTGAAGGGTGTCAAGGAACTTCAATACATGGGTTCTAAAATTGCTCTAAGAAGGCTTATTGGAGAGGCCTTTCATTGCATCATTGACAAAGAAATTAAAATGTCTAACATTTGGGGATCTAAATTAATCTCATTGCCTGGAAGGATAAACTTGGTTAAATTGGTACTACTGTCCTACTCAATCCATCATTGTACACATACTTTGGTTCCTAATTAAAGTATTCTTGGTGATTTAGATAGAATTTGCAAAAACTTTATTTGGAACAAATCAAATGGAGATTTCGGCATCCACTATGTGAACTGGAAAACCATGTGTTTACCAGTTGAGAATGGTGGAAGAGGTCTACTTTCTTGCATTGAAAAAGTTGGGCCACTTAGAGCTAAACTTGCTTGGAGGTATAACCAAGATGAAGAATCCCTATTACATAAAATCCTGTTTCCAAAATTCGGACAGCTTTATGGAAACAGATTCCATAAAAAATCTGGATCAATTGCTTGGAAAATTATTAATGATGGAGGAGTCTTTTTAAAACCCATTGTCAGATGGGAGGAAGCAAATGGCAGCCTCATTAATGCAAACAATGACATTTGGATTCTTGACAAAAGCTTAAACAAATGGCCTACCTTTGTTAATCCGGAACTCTCAGATGAGATCAAGGTGGATAGATTCATCTCAGGGGAAATCTGAAATATTGTGGAACTTAATGAAAACTTTGGTAAAGATCTAGTGGAACTGATTTGTAAAATTCCAATCAATTCAGATCTTCACTCAGATAGCATGGAATTATTGTTTAAATTCTCCTTAAAATCAATTTCTAAACTAGCAACTGAAGCCTCTCTTCAAACATCAAACCAAGCTGCTTATTGGAAATGGATAAATAAGGCCATGTTACTTCCTCGTGTTGAAGGATTTTGGTGGAGATTATTCAATAATGCAATACCAACATTTCATTTCCTTTGCTATAGAAGATTGCAAATGCACAATGGTTGTCCAAGGAATTGTAATATGTAAGAAGATGTTGAACATGTGGTAACTAAATGTAGAAAGCTAGAAAGCATTTTTCAAATTCTGAAAAAATGGGGTTTTAAATTTTCCATATTTAATTCAATGAAGGATTGCTTGGATTGGATATATCTACAGAACTTTTGGACAACCAATTTATTTTGCAATGTAATATACTTTTCTTGGAAAGGTAGAAACAAGATGGTTCACGAAGGAGGAGTCTTTTCATTGCTTCCGAAGCTATCAGCTTAGCTTCATATTCAGCAAACTATATGGCTTTAAATCAAGTAAATAGGTTGCTAATCAGCATCATTTGCTATTGGACATCCATTGGCATCCCCCTCCACTCGATTGGATAAAGGTTAATGTAGATGCATCTTTATTAAAATCATATAAGGGAGGAATTGTAGGTGTATTCCGGGAATACAAAGGCAAGTTCTTGTTGGCTTTTGGCCAATCTCGTGTCCATTGGGATATTTTAAGACTTGAACTTCAAGCCATTCAAGCAATCAGAGTAGTCAAAGATTGGATGCATAGCTACAAAGGGATCATAATTGAAAGTGATAATTCCAACATCATCAAGCTATTACAATCGGTCTTCTACAAAGGTAAATATGATTTGGAATTTCCTTTTAAAGATTTTCATAATGTCATTTTCAATTGTATTGATAGAAATTGCAATAAATTAGCGGATCTATGTGCTAATTATGCAACCTTTAGCTCTTTCATTTGGGATGATTTAGTGCTTCATAATGTTCCTCCTTTTTTATTTCAATATTAAAGGAGGAATCTAATGGCATTGGATAGACTTTTTTCTTTCCCTTATTTTTAATAATATTAATGCATAAGTTGCATTTTCATAACTGAACCAAAATTTATACAAACAATACAATTATTATAAATACATATTTAAAATTAAATTATAAAAACATATATAATAACTTCATAAAGTTTTAACATTAATTTAACAAAACAAAGTAAATTCGTGTTCGGACGCGGGGCGGAGTTTGAACGCTGGCTTTCGTGGAGGGATTTTGGACTTAGGATGTGTGAGTCAATAGGATAGAGGTCGGATGCGATCATGCGTGACAGAGGTCGGACGCGAGACGTGGGATGGAGCTCAGATGCGGGCGTGCCGGGACACGAAAGCAGACACGATGGAGCTTGAATGAGCCACTCGACTAGCTCGTTTTAATGGCATGAGCTGAGCACGAGCTCAACTTCTGAGCTCGACTCAAGTTCGAGCTCAAGATTTGGCTCATAAGTCGAGCTCAAATTATGCCTTACTCGAACTCGACTCGACTCATTTGCACCCCTGCATCTAACCATATCCTATATAAGCCGAGTATTCATTTTATCTCATGTCATGTTTCTCAAATAGTAATGAAATACTTTTTCCTCTCAACTTCAAATTATACTTAGTAGTTTTTTGGGCTGACACCTTGCCTTTCATATAACATTTCTAAAAATATAAGGACTACTACATGCATACAAAATTTCACACCATTACTGGGGCTCAACTATTTTTGGCGGACCAATTAAAATAGGTAGTGATATGCAAGTTTGTTTGGGAAAATTTAAAATTATTCACCTAATCAAGTACTGATAAAACAGCATTATAAAATTTTATTTTTGAAGCATAGCATTTTCCTATAAACAAGTGCGTTAAGAATATGCTTCCTTTGCTAGGATTTTCATGTATATTAACAAAAAAAAAATAGAAGACCACTTCAATAATCAGAGGCTCATGACATCTCTAACACAAATTTCAAGCCTATGACGAATATACAATTCGTTGACTATAAAGGGATAACTTACATTTATGGTAACGGCATTCTTTGATCATCATGCTGAAAATACGAATTTAATGTTAATTTATCCCCCAGCTCCTTTCTATAAACCTGAATCAAACCAGTGCTATCAGTTATCTCAAGCTTGTTCCCGAGCATGGCTTTGTAATGATCATCTCTTTCCTCCAAGCTTCTCATAAGTTCAATCTAAAAGGAAAAAAAAAAAATTAAGTGGGTTAGTTCAGAAGTTCATGCTGAAAGCTTTCAACAATCAATTAACCAGGTTCTTTAACTAAAACTATTGATAATTATGAAACAAAGGCCGGCTTCTATAAAGATGATTTCTACAGGTGACACATATTAAAATCCCATCAACTTGTAGAAGAGTTATCTTGAATAATTTGTATTTACTGTCATGCTTCAGGTTAAAGTAAACCATTTGGAATGCATTGAAAACTAGGAAATTACTTTTGACTGATTTTAAGAGCATTAAGAAACAAATGGCAAGTCAAGCCTACGAAGAAGTTCGGAAACGCATTAAAAATAGGAAATGACTGGACTGCTTTTAAGAGCATTAAAAAACAAATGGGTAAGTCATGTCTTCAGAATTCAAGAGTTAATTAACTTGACGTAGTTGGACTCTTTTTAATAGGTTTATCGAAATGCACCTGTTTCTGAAACAAATCAAATTCATCTGAGCTCAAAGAACCATCACTATTTGTGTCCAGAAGCTTCATTAGGTCTTGTGCGTCATTGCCACCAGCTCCAAGATCTTCCATTACTTCAGTTAGTTCATCAATACTGATACGACCATCACCATTTTTGTCAAGGAGACTAAACACTCTATCTTTCTGGGAAATGTCAAACCGTCTATGACTTGGCATAGGGAGATCTCTAAGACGTAAAGCAGCCAATTCAGCAGCAGCCAACATTATCGCCTTCAACCGTTTAGCCTGCACATATGGCACGAGGGAGAATATTTTCTTAAATAGCTAAAAAGACACTCAAATTTCAAAGATCAAGCGTTTTCAAAGACATATATGATAATGGAAGTGGAACACTAGGGCCCAATCGAGCACAATACAAATACACATTAGCACACATCAAATCAAAAACTTAAGCTCATGGGTGAGCTAAGGGATAAGAGCCCTTACTAGTACATCATAAGTCCAACTTCAAAATTTGCCCATAATTTATTACTTCTACTTAAATATAAGTTTTTCAAGATCATTAAATATCACATGCAAAAAGCCTGTTCTATTGCATGAAGCTTATGTGGGAATCACTTGCTCTTGAGTCTAGCTTAATCACAATGAAAACATCCAACGAGAGCACAAAATACAGGAAACGCTTGGTCTCAACTGAACCATAATGAGTGAAAGCTACAACTATAATATTAGAAACTCAATTATTATTTCACTAGCAAGGTGGTATTATTTCTATTATCATGTGCATCAGGAGCCCATGGAAGGTCAATTGCGCCTCCTTAAAATACATTGATATCATAAAAGGAATGAACAAGAGACGTGAAAAAGGAGCTCAATACCTCTTGTGGATCTGTAAGACCACCCTTATATAGTGAGTGCGCAGCAGCACCAGCATCAGCCATCAAGTCCATCTCTTTGGTTCGAATCTGAATTTCCATTAATGCTCTCCCCACCATCCCATGCTTACCGACATCAACAACCAGATGTAAGCTCCTATATCCGTTTGCCTTTGGATTAGTAATGTAATCTTTCGTTCTATCAGTTATTTCTTTCCACATGCTTCTGATCACTTCAGATGTCCTGTAACACGCCCTCAGTCCCCTCTCCATCAAATCTGATCCAGGTTTTGGATTCAATATGATCCGTAAACCTAGAAGATCATTCACTTCTTCTGGTCTACGACCATCTCTTAACAGCTTCTTCATAGTACTGAAACGGCTTTTATACCGGCTTTTGATTGAGATATCATCGACAAGCTCCTCAAGTTCACTATCACGATTTAATACTTGAATCAATTCATCCTTGCAGACTTTGATGTGAGACATATTTTCTGTTTCATGGCTTCTCAACCACGCATCAATGTAATTATAAGAATAGGGAAACAAGTACTGAAAAGCAATGTCCTCTAGCTCTAATGATATGGCAACAGCCCCAACAGCATGTGCAAGAGGGGCATATATCTTCATCACCTCAAGAGACAAAGTCTGCTGCTGATGTTGAAGGAGGTGATCAATATTCCTCATTGTATCAAGTTTAATGACAAGCTCTAGAATTACAGCTCGGATGTCATAGTACGCTAAGCAGAACTTCCTTAGCGCACTAGCACTTTCATCATCCAACACATCAACTTTTGAAGGAGCATATTTCATCCGCAGGTTCTCGTGCAGCAGATGACCAGTACTGCTGCTGATTTGACTTTTCACTTCAAGCATAGTTAGAACACCTGCTTCCACAGCCTCTCTCAATAATCCAGCAGAGATAACTTCTGCATCCATCTGCAAAGCCACTACAAGTGACCATTTAAAAGCTACAGGCTCATTTTGGTTGCTTCAAGACATAAAACAGGTTTTACAAACTGATGATTTTATTTTCGCTCATTTGAATGTGGAAATGAAATCATCAGATTTGTGAGATTATAAAGGTGTTTGTATAGTTTAAAAACAATATTAATTTTTAGCTAAATCCAATCAAATGACGGAATTTTTTTTTTTTTTTGAAAACATGATTTCCAACTTTAGACAACTAAATGGGCCCTAAGAAGAACTCTCAGATATGCATAATAAAAGTTTATAACCCGTATTCTAGGAAAAGAAACTGTGATGTAGATAGCTTGAAACTACTCATTTTGTTAAACCACCTTTTAAAACTAAAACATGAAAGCCATCCAAATTATTTAGTTGGCCACAAAACTAGGTGTAAAGTATTCAGCAATAAATTAATCTTTCCGTAATGGTTTAAAGAAAACACCTTAGCAATGTTCTAACAGATACTTTGACTAACACACGTCTCTATATGCCTCTAGTTAAATGCAGAAAAAAAAATTGCATCAAACCAAAGGAAACAGTTAACTAATGAATAAAAAGGAGTTTCGTTCCTTTTTTAGAGCATAAGAATTTCGTTATTTATAAAGTCAGTTATAAGCTCAAATGTGTTACTGAAGATTTCAGGTTGTTGACTAAAAAAACATTTAAGTTTCTACATCTTTACTGAGTATTAGTGATCACAGAAAATCCCATTTTCCAACCAGAATCAGAATCAATTTTCAATAAGCAATCACTTTTCCATCAGCATGAACTCTATATTTTCGAGATTAACTTAGAAATATGTGTTCCTCTGCTTAACATAAAGGGAACTCAATCATTTGTTGACTGTAGACTGAAGCCACCCACAACCTAGCTGCCGGTTGTTGACTAACGTATAATACACAAAGAAAAGAAATCATGCATACATACCCTGCGCCCGACGGATCCACGAATCCTGCCGAAATCCCGCTGTTCAGCGCCGAATCAGTCGCTTCTCCCGCGATTCCTGCTTTTCGGAGCCCACACCGGTAAGACTCACTCGTGCACGATCCCACTTCCCACACAATCCCCTATAACCAAATGTAACTCCCTCACGACACAAAAACCACTTGAGCCCGCTGATTCTGCCCATTTGCATTCTCATGCACGCAAAGAAGACCAAAAAACTTACCTCTTTCGATCGTCTCCATCAACCGAAGCCCATCGAACTCAAACCGCCGCCACTTCACTGACCCCGTTAGCCGAGTCACCTCCGTCTACTACAAGCAAAGCCGAATCGACCTCATCTGGCATGACTCACCTTCGTCCTAGCCACATGCCACCGGCCGCTGTCTCCCTCGTACAGCCAAAGCCCGCTAACCTCCAGGCCTTTGAAGAAGTCGGTCGTGCTTCCTTCTATAAGTCCATCAACTCCGACCCGTGCCCTAGCCGCTTCCATATCCAAGCTCAAAACCGAACTGTTGCGGATCTATGGCTTATGATTTTGATGATAGCAAACATTATTTTTCTCTATGACTGCTTTCTACTAACATTTCAGGTTCACACGATCAGACTACCATTTGGAATCAGCTCAAGATTGGGTAGATTAGGTCTGAGTCAGTTTGTACACTTTTTCCTTTCTTGAGTCTATTGTATTTGGTGTGGGTCCTGATACTTTGTAACTTGGAAGAGTTTCTAACAGGACCCTAAAGTTTTCTATTTTTGATAATATCGTCCCGGACGATATTTATATCGGCCTGGATGATCTGTCCAAAAGCAGAAACCCTAATTAGGGCATCCTCAATAAAGCAGCCGTCATTGTGCAAAACACATCGTCCTGGACGATTTTATATCGGCCAGGACGATCGGCTCAATTCTGCAAGAATCTGCCGCCATATCTACTTAGGAAAATCTTATTTTTGGATATCGTCCTGGTATATCGGCCTGGACTATAAAATATCGTCCTGGCCGATCCAGGTCAATTTTT